AACATATCTGGGCACAGGGTCTTTTCTGAGACTGACATGCAACCAAGGAACATGTATGAATGTAACCTAGAACCTCTGCCTAGATGTAGCCTGTGGTAACTCAGTAACCAATTGGTTTCCCATAGTGAGGGGAACAAGGACTATTTCTAACAGGAACTCAATGACTGGCTCTTTGGCCTCCCCACCCCCCAAGGGAGGAGCAGTCCTGTTAGGCCACAGAGGAGAGCTTTGCAGCCAGTCCTGAAGATACCTGATAAAACAGGATCAGATGAATGGGGAGGAGGTTCCCTCTATCAGTGGACTTGGCAAGGGGCACGGTGGAGATGAGGGAGGGAGGGACTGGGAGGGAATGAGGGATCGGGACACGGCTGGGATACAGAGTTAATAAAATGTAACTGATAAGAAAAAAATATAATTAAAAAAAATAAAGCATCTCAGGAACAGAAAAAAAAAAAAAAAAAAAAAAAAAAAAAAAACTCCTGGAGCTCAGCCTATTGTTTATCTGTGTGTCTTTGCTTCTGTTTTCATCAGATGCCAGATAAAGCCTCTCAGGAGACAGTTACACTGGGTTTATGTCTGCAAGCTTAGCAGAGTATCCTTAATAGATATCCTTAATAGCTGACCAAATATTCTTGGATGAGTAGGCTTTGACTGGAAAGTGGTCATTTTATAAGGGACTATACCCTTAGAGAGAACTGTCTCACCATCTCGCAGGACTTCCATGACTACGGACAGAATTGTGTGCCCAACTCCATGCTAAGATTTGGTCTATCTTGGACTCCCATAGGTTTTGTATATTATGTTATTGCAACCACTGTGATTTTGTATGTACAGCTACCCAGCTATGACCAGGACACAGTGTTTCCTTGTAGTTCCTGCCATCTCTGTATCTCCCAGTTTTTTCACATCTCTTCCACAATGATATCTAAGACTTGAGAAGAAGGCTTTCTGTTCCCTTTGGGGATGAACATTCTGTAATCTCATTTCTCTGCACCTGTCCACTTCTAGGGCTCTTTGTTAATCACCATCTACTACAAATAGAAGCTTATTAGATTAAGGATGTGAGAGATATTGATCTCTTGGTATAGATATAAGTCACTGAGGGTTATTTTAACTGTGTGTCCATTTAGTAGCATAATAGTACTTGGACACATGAAGATAGTTTTTCAGGGAAGGAGAAATGTAATGCACTGATAAAATAGTTTAAAGGGAATAGTGAAATATGAAGATTCAAACTAGGGTTTGGTAAATAATAGCAGGATAGGATAGAAAATATGGAGAGAAATTTACAAAACTAAAAACCATTCAAAAGATACATTGTGGTGGTTTGAATAAGAATGACCCCCATAGACACATGTTTAAATACTTGGTCACTAGGTGTTAAAACTGTTTGGGAAAGATTGAGGTATGGCATTATTGGAGGACATATGTCATGGGGAAAGGCTTTGAGTATTTAAAGGCTTCCTGCAATCTCCACTGTGCTTTCTTCTTCCTTTTGTGGCTCAGGTTATGAGATTTTTAACTGTTAAACTAGAGCAAGGATTGCATACCTGCTGTGATGCCCTTTATCATGATGGTGATGGATTCCTGTCACATTGGAACTATTAGCCCCAATAAATGATTCATTCTATAAGTTGCCTTGCTCATGACATTTTAACATGGGAAGAAAAAAGTAACTAAGGCTTATATGGGAACCTATTCCTATGCAAGCTTCATAGAGACAGGAAGAGTCAGGAAGGCGGGAAGGAGGAAGGGAGAGTAGAATAAAGGAAAGGTGGAAGGAAGAGAATGAATCAAAACAGAGTACACATAAAATAGCAACAGTGCTCATATTACATACAGACCAGAAGCTAACACAACCCCCAGACCAAGAAATTGGTTACTTCGTTTGGCATTGTTGGCACCACCCTCCCAACCCAAACATTACAGGCTCTCACAGTTATTCTTGGTTATACACAGAACTTGATGGCAAGATCCTATTTCTGAAAATATCATATTTGTGCATCATAAAACATGGAGAAATCAAACTAGTACTCACTTGGAAGCTTCATCCATATTGGCTAGCTTTTAGAACACTTGAAGGTGCTATGCACTCTAACACAGGAAGTAAGAAATCATCATTTATACCTAACTATGAAGTCTATGAGCTACCATAATGACTGGCCTGGCAAGACATTCCTACTGGTGAAATAATGGCATGGAAATCATGGGTGTAACTAACAACTTTCTAATTGTATTTAAGTTATGCTCCATAAGATGAAACCCACACCTGGCACCATTATCAGGTAAGAACCTATGGTATAAAATGTATTTTCATAG